ATCAATTTTTTTTGTTGTTTTCATCGGTCTCGTCTCCTTCTTAAGGAGAACTGAACATTATCCCTCGAACGACACTGTATAATAAGTAAAATATATAATATACGATGTCTCTCTTTTTTCTCTCCCCACACACACACACACACACACATATGTATATAAATAAATATCTATACTCAACAATAACATAAGTTGCTGATTCGCGCAATTCAAGACGACGGGAAATAACCGCCAAATTCACATTATTGCGATCCGCTTATGTCTCGTTCTCGCATGACGATATCGAAGTATCCTCGAAGCGCGAGCAAATTAAAATAAGTTTTCTGTAATCGCAACGTCCGAGATTCATAGCCAGACTATCTCTTTCTGTAAATTTTATCGAATCAAATTCAGAGTGCGAATCGCTCCGGTGATGATTCAGAGTACGTAATTTCTTCACAGTAATTCATTCCTTCGTAATATTACGTGTTAGATCAATTATCTCCAATAATCGCAATTTTTCAAAAGGACTCCGCAAAATCTTTATGGAAAATAGCTTTCGGCTAAATTTTCTGAAACTGTGCTATATGATAGTTCTTGGTATGTAGATCAAAAGTGTTAATGAGCGCAAAGTCTGAAAAATTATTTATTTTTATTAAATTAATTATAGTTTTTGAATTATAGCCGGTCAAAATTGACGTTTTTGTGCATTTTTTTCAGCGATATTCTGCAATAACTGACGCCACCCAAGGTTAAATCAGTAAACAGATCTTTGTCAACTTTACAACTTTTGTTTGAAATATTTTTCTATAAATTATTTCTATACTTATATTTTTCGAAATCTATTCAGGGACCAGAAATATTCCCGAACTTTTTGAACACCTTGCATATTTGTATATACATGTAATTGTAACAAATATATAAATATGTACGTGTGTGAATGTAGGAAAATATATACGCAGGCTCCTATTCCACTTGATATAATCAGCACTGCAGCTTAATAAAAACGGCTGTAACTCCAAAACTATAATTTTTCAGACTTCGCGCCCACCGATACTTCTCACCTACATATCAAGAACCACCATATAGCACAGTTTCAGAAAATTTAACCGAAAACCATTTTCCATAAGGATTCCGCGAGGTCCTTCGGTCGTCGATTTCTATATATAATCTGTTACATTATAATTTTAGTAGCAATAAAAAATAAGGGATTGTCGGGGAAATTTGAAACCTGACACGATTAATAATGGAAAAAAAAATACTAAAACAAGGACATACATAAAGGCAGTGATGGAAAAGGATCAGTCGTTTTTCTTACGTGCATGTGCTTCCCTTCCCACGTGTGTGATTCGCCGGATTCGGGCATTCGAGATTATCCTAATAATACTTCGATAACGCTCGCTACAGATTCGCGGACGATTTTCACACGCCGTATCGAGCTCGGCCGCTAATACAAACCGGCGATACCGCGTGCGTAGAAAAAGAGACAACAGATATCATCGTCTGTTTGCGTCTATAAAAAAAAAAAAACCCCCCGCTAATAAAATTCGGCATCACCTCTTCTCAAGTTGCGTGCACCTGACGATCACAACTGCTCAAAGTGGCGGCGGTCTGTCGACTCTATACTGTATTTTCAGCGGGAACCACCGGTAGAGCGTATTGGTGTTCTCACAGCAGTCCGGCTTGAAGAGGTAAACGACGCAGAAGAGCGCGACCAGTGCGAGCTGGAAGGGCAGTGTCACCTTGAGGATGCGCGAGACCCAGCTGTGAGGCGTCAACTCGCTACGGAAGTCGCTGTCCTTCGAGAAGTTGGCGCCGCTATTCTTCGTGGTCCGCGTCGATTCCGCGGTGTCGCTCTTCGACATGCTCGTGTCGCGATCGGACGCTTTCTTGCGTTTGCTAGAAAATATGAAGCAGAAAAAACACGTTTGGGTGGCCGAAGCGATCCCGACCGTACAAGGCGCGTTCAACACGTCACGGTATTCTTTTCCGTTTGTCCCACAAAGAGATCCGTTTAAAAGGGTGGAGTCGATATCGCGCGATTTATGTTGCAATGGTACACAGTAAAATTTTTGCTAAATTTAAACGCATCTCGTATGTCCCAAACGATCCACACAAATTTTTGCGCCCACTTAACACACCGTGAATCTGTTGAAAAGTGACACAAATATCACGTCGAAGTTAACGTAAAATTAATATTCATAATATGTTGATCGACACCAAAAATATATGTAAACGTAAATATAATAAAATAAATAAAATAAATATAATAAAATATAATAAATATAAATAAAATAAATATAAATAAAATAAATATAATAAAAATACATATAACTATAAAGTGTGTTATATTAACATATTTTATAGTCATATTTATATATATTTTTAGTATCGACTAACATATTATGAATATCAACTTTATGTTAATTTCAACGTAATATATGTTACTTTTACACATGTTGAGTATCGACACAACACAAAATATTGAGACAACATAAACACGACATGTCAAATTAACAGGCAGACGTAAAATATTTAACACCAAAATTTTAACAAAGGCCGATTTTAACACGAGTACAAAATATTTTTCACTGTGTACTTTTGCATTTTAGAGATTTCTTTGAATCGTTCATACTTCGATCATACTGTAACACGTGACACAACTTACTTTATTGCGCTTCTACGCTTTCCTCCGAAATTTCCTACGCTTCTCATAAATTCTCCTCATTCTTCTCACGAGAATCTTGAATCGTGACTCGCAATGTTTCCGTTCTGGTTTTGCTTGATAATCCGTTGGCTCGCTAAGCCAGATATATACACTCGATCGTTTAGCAGGAGAAACTTGAACGAGTTCGCAACTGCGAAAATTAATTTATGCCGTCCCACGGGTCATGATAATACGAGTAAACCAGTAATAGCAAAGTTCGCCGGGAAAATCAATTTGGAGATGCATACACATAATTCGGAGGTAGCGAAATTGGGCTTGCAATTACAGCGGCTGCCCCGCTTGCTGCTCCATTAGCGTTACATAAGCGCGCGGCCGCAAGTAGTTTATTCAAGTTTTCCGCGAACATTCGCTTTCGCTCGGTTCCCGCTTTAATTCGCAAGTCCGGGGCGAGAGGAAAGGCTTAAAAAATGTCCCTTGTTGTCGTTAAAGCGCGACTTGCGCTTTACGATGTGCGGCGCGAGATGAAAAAAGAAGAAACACCGCGAGAGACGGAAAGCCGTCGATCGAGGAAAATGGCACTGGGTTTTTATACGACTCTTTTTACGACTCGACGTGGCAGATGCTTCGCGCACGCGAAAAACTAAACCTATTATCGCCGCCACCGAGCGGTGATTGAACGCGGCCATAAAGGCGTCCTTAAAACAAAGTTAAATAAGGTACGCCGGTGATAATTGGAATCTCGAGTAATTCGCGAACAACCACGTAAGACCGTGTTGTCTCGTTTGTTAAACGAGAGGAAAAACAAAATGAAAGGAGCTTTGCCGTTATTACGGGATTACGGCTGCGTGTGAATGTGAGTGACAACGTATCGCTTTCAAATCACCAGCGAGGAAGGATTCGTTAACGAGGAAGGCATCATCGTTCACTCAATCGCCGCTAATAACGGCTATGATGCGATGTACGTTTTCCCCGGCATGAAGAAAATAACGAGAATCCGAAGCGACGTTGTGAAAAAGCGGAAAGGAAAAGCATCCGTCTTTTAAGAAGAACTGTAATTCACGTTATCGTTCGGATATATCTTCTCTTTTTTTTTCCAACTTTCCGGACTGGCATCGCCGTTGGAAAGAGGCAATGGGTGCAGTCGCCGCACTCGTGTTCTCGGCCGAGTTCTTATATTCAAATGAGCAGCCGCCTTTTGCCCGGCCGCTATGGACCAACGACCTCTCCTCGTGTCTCCACATCTAAATAGTCGCCTTCATTCTTTACTTCCCATTTTGACGTTATGCAAATGGAATAATATGCGTGTGCGTGTGTGTGTATGTGTGTGAGGAGAACGGTTCTTAATACAGCGAACCGAGTCTCGTTTTCGAGTATTCGAGAAATTTTTGGCGGGCGTTCGCTTATTTATCTGGTTCAATTATTCAACTCGATTTCATTATCATTTTGCCCGAGACGGACGTCATCGCGATTATTCGCAATGTATCGGTTTAGCCGACCGGGAGTTCTCAATTATTTCACGTTTCCTGGACGCGATTCTCGTACAGAAGACTCCATTAACGCCGTTTCATTTCTTAGATACAGTGACACCGGAAATCCCCGATTAGATCATGATTTCTAAATATTTGTGTATCGTGACTGTTGCTGCTTTGGAGCATCGCTGCCAGTTCACAGAATAATCGAGTCATGCTGCACGAATATTCAGAAGTGATGCGCCTAATTGGGAGAATTTCCGATGTCACTGGCGCTTACACGGAGAAAATATTGTAGTAAAAATCGCCACAAAATGTTGTAACGTTGAACCGCATCGGGATTATAACTGAAATTACGATGCCCGTTGTGATTTTTAACGATGTGTTTCATTGTACACATCACGAAAAATTATAACACACATAATAAAATTTCAGTCGTAATTCCGGTGCGATCCAGAAAAATTTGTGGTAATTTCTACTGCAGTGTTTCCCCCGTGCAGAGAATAGAATAACATTAACGAAGTCTGTCTTCCGTACCTTCGAACGCACGGAGATTTTGCTAGAACAGCAAATGTTTGTCAACATAGCGATAGCAAAAAAAGAATTCGTTTAGACAGCGAGGAGAAGCAGCAAAAGTTCAGACAGCAGAAAAATTTGTCCAAAGTATTAATTATCCATATAGCCAGCAAACAGCGATTAATACTCTTAAAAAATCTTTCCGCCGTTCAAAAAAATTTCTTGTCTTCATATCGACAAACATTTGCTGTTCTAAAAAAATCTGTCTCCTCCGTGCGAGACCAAGCGAGAGAAGTGCGATACGGTAGGTAGTAGCGCCGAAATTCGGAGGCTCGACGAGAGAAATGGACGATGACAATTTCGGTACTCACTCAGCGAAGTGATGAACTTGGCTGGCCGTTCGCTTGGCGGCACGCGCGTCGACGCTCGCCGTTGTGGTCGTACGCATGACGAGCTCCTGACACTGCTTCTGCAGATCGCGAAGCTCGCCCTTGGCACCCTCGATCCTCTCGTTCAGCTCGATCAGGTCTGTGCAGGTGATGTCCGGTGCCAATTGTTTCTGCAGGCTCTTCGTCAGTAGCTCAAGAGCGACCAGCCTGCGTTCCCGTTCGCTCAATTCCTGCTCGCTTCCGCTGTCGGAGATCCCGCTGTCGGAGAGAGACCCACCCTCCTGCGTAAGATTACTCGTGGACGCGTCGGCAAATTTCAAGAGAGACCCGCAGTGCATCTCCTCGGTCGTCGCGTCGTTCAACATCATGTTGCTCTGGAGAAACACAATCACCGTTGCCGGCGGTTTAGCGATCGTTAACCCGGGAATAGTATCACCTTATTTTTTTTCTAACGTAAACGATCACCTGGGATCGTTTTGTACCCCAACATGTCTTTACGGGCTTATATATGAATAAGACGGGTCACGGTCTATTCTTGTTGCACAAGTTAGGCCTTTAAATATCCAAATGAAAGGTGCATATTGGATCCCGATCGGTAAAAAAAAAATCCACTGCGACGCGAGCTTCATTTTCTGACCGCTGGGGTATGACTCCAGGTGACTATTCCCGGGTCAATCGCCGAATGCGACGTCGAATCTGGCGCGACGATAACGCTCTCGTTATTTTTCTATACGGGGAGCGAATTATTAGCTCGTTATTTATTTACGGTAACTTAATCGCAAGGGTGGACACGTAGCTTCTCATCGCGATGCGCGATGCTGTCGATCGGCAGAGGCTGCCGATTAAGGAGAAGAAAAAGGACGAAAGGAGAAAAAAATCTCGGGGAAAATTACGGCGAAACGACGGCGCGCGCGCGACGGATCGCGACGAGATCGACCTGCGATAAGTGCGGGTATACCCGGGAGGACACCCGATATGGAATATTGTATAATCCACTCCTGCGCATCACCGGAGGGCATCGGAAAGCGTATAAGACGATTATATAGAGTACGGAGGGGGAAGGCGAAGGGACGAGGGTGGTGGTAGGTGTAAGGTAAAAGAGAAGCGAGAGAGAGAGAGAGAGAGGAAGGCGGGGAGGATGTTCGATGCCGAATTGATCGTCCCGTGATACGTCAACGAGCGTTTCGGCAGATTTGCATACGATTTTCGAGATAACTGTCGCGAATGTATACAAGTCCTGCCACATGATCGATATAACCCCCCCCCCCCATCTGATGCATACATATAGATATGGATATATCGCGCGGAGCAAATCAATATATTTTCAAAGAAAGAAATATAACGCGTCTCCACGGATCGCAGATACACGTTTGCACTGTGGTAGCCGCGAATAGTATGGCGCGAATACCGGCGAGAATGCCAGTGGTAGTGGTCGACAGTAGTAGACAGACAGTCGAGTAGGGAAGGGTGGCTGCGTGGAAGAAAGGGTAGGTTTAGGCTGTTTGCAACGGTGGAGACGGAGGGAACGAGCCTCCGGTAATGAAAAGCGCGATCCGCATACCAAGTAGCAACCTTCAACCTAACCTATATATATATATATATATATATATATATATATATATATGCGATGTGTGTGTGTGTGTGTGTGTGTGTGTGTGTGTGTGTGTGTGTGTGAGTATACTCCGGTATAACGGATAGTAGGTACGAAGTGAGTCGAGACGGAATCCACGCCGCCAGAAAGGCCAATCGCGCGAAAGAAAACTGCGAGGAGCTCCTTATTTCCGGTTACATTGGCGAAACACACACACACACACACACACAGAATTTAACGGAACACATAGAGATATATACACAATACAACGTAAAATATCTCATATCGCGCGAGAAGGCAGGATGAAAAAAATCGATTCGCTTATTCGCCGACACGGGATCTTCGGAGGAAAAGAAATGGAGAGAGAGAGAGAGAGAGAGAGAGAGAGAGAGAGAGAGAGAAAAAAACTGGGAAAGAGCGGAATATCGCTCCACGAGATGATTTACGCACGTGTACGCAGGTATGGTCAGCGGAAGTGAGAGAAGAGAACTCGCAGGTGACCCACGTGGTGATGCGCATCTCGAGGAATGCAATATTTATTGTATATTATTAACACACAGAGCCGCGCGAATCGAATGCGCAATTAATGAACCCGCCGGTCGACCACTAGCGGTCGCGCACGTAGCAAAACGGAATTTTCGAGGCGACACGAATTACACAACCAGACACCCACCGCCGTTGATATTAAATTTGTATTTTTACGCTGATTCCACGGGCCATTCCCGTACGTGACGCGAAAGGAAATCGTTCGGGCGATTAACGATCGGAGTTCCCTAGGGAGCCGCTGGCTCTGAGATGGCCAACACCCTCGGTAGCAACTCGGACTCGCTGTATCCCGGCCAAAACTTATCTATCCTTCTCTCTCTCTCTCTCTCTCTCTCTCTCTCTCTCTCGATCCACTCTCTACAGCGCAGCCAGTACACATCGGTTGATATTTTATTTACTACCTATCAAAACTTATGGATTTTTCACGGCTGGAGAAACTAAACGAGCGTGTCCGTCGATCGTCGATTCGGATTCGTCGTGCGCCCTTCTTCGTCGATTGCGATTTGAGGCGATGTGAAAAATGTGGCGTCCCGCGCAACTACACTACAACTAGGAATGCACATAGCGTGTATGAAAGCGAGTAATTTCGCGAAACCAAAGAACACCCTGCCAGTTTTGTAAATAAACTCTTTATGACCGCGCGTGCGCGAGAAGATTGTCACCGTCGAGAAAAAAAAAAATAAAGGGAGAGCGGGAAATAAAAAAAATTGCAGTGTTACATGAGAAAGAAGAATGTAATGTCGAGTGCTTTATCGTAGCCTTCCCTCTTCTTCGGCTCTCCGAAATAAGAGTGAGCGGAAAGGAGGAGGGAGAGGAGAGAGAGGACTGTCGCGAGGGGAGACTGGAAGGGGCGAGCGAGAGAGGAAGAGGGAGAAAAAAGAGAAGCGTAATGTCAAGTGCATGAAATTATTCCCTCGAGTGCTGTAGATCGACAAGACTAAGAACTTTTCGGATTATACCGCCTTGACGGGAGTTTGAATACGTTAAAATATAGACGCGATACACACGGAAAGAGGAGAAACGGGACGAAAAGGAGAAAGGCTCCTATTATTGGAGAAAAAGAGAGAGAGAAAGAGAGAGAGAGAGTATTGTGTCGCGGGTCGTACGTCTTCTTGACAGGCGAAATGAGCGCGGGGACAATTGGAAATTTTTAGAGAGCACCTACACAGCCGATACGCTACGCGCGACACATCGAGCGTGGCGCGAGTTGCAACCTCTTAAAAATCTATTCTCAACGTATACAATAATGTATAGTCGTTGGCCATATTATTAGACGTATTTTAATTCTTTAATAGAATACGGGTTAGGAGGAGAAGAAAAGCTACTAATTTTATGTTTGCTCGATTAGAAGAAATTTCGGTGTCAAACAGCGCTTAAAATAAAATAAAATTTCAATCAACACTTACTCAAAACTCACTGTTCTCGTTATTATCAACAACGCGACGCAAGCGCGGGTTCATACTCGTTCTCTTGAGGTCATCGTAACAGCCAAGTGAAACGACGTCATAAAAAATACATTTTATAGAACAATAGCTCCTTAACATGATTCGATCGATGGATGAGTCGTATTATAAAGCTGATCCTCGGAAGTCAGTGGATTGTAAAACATTAAGGCGCGTCTAATAATATGGACAGGGATTGTATATGCGACATCTCGCGCACCAGCGATTAACGCGAGGCAAGGAAATTAATACCTACAATTATTCAGCAGAATTATTGCCACTTTTATCACGAATCACGGCTCATTTCTCGCAATTATCGCACACGTAATCGTCATGACGTTTCATCACGTTTCATTCCAGCGCCTTACGTGGCGCAAGCTTTCCTCAACCTCTAAATGTTTACCGGAAAGTGTGCGAATCTCCGCCGCAGGACGATATACGTCTTCACGACAGGCTAAACGAGCGAGTCAATCGAGAATCGTGGTCGCAGGCCCGCCCGTTCGCTGCACCTTCGATTACTCACCTTACGTCCATAAAGCAAAGAACCGACGTAAAACGGGGCTCGCCGAGAGATTTACTTTATATGCAAATTAAAGACGGATATATGGTGGAAATAGGGGGATGTGATGGCGTTTAACGGAGACGCGATATCGACAAGTATCATCTGTCAAACGTACCCTCCGACCCCTGGCCCCTTCTTCTCCTTCGAGTAACCTCCGCGCGTGTTCGGGCTAGTCGAAGATTTATCTCCCGACGTGCGCCATATGTGACGCACGTATACACGACTTTTACGTATTGCACGCAACGCCCAACTCCCAATTATTCCCATCTTCTTAATTGTCTTACGATACGATGGCAGTTACGTTACGGAATTATATCATTTAACGAGAGAAATTAAGAAATTAACTCGATAAGAATGGTGTAAAATGAATCAATTGTACTTTACACGTTGATTTTAAAATGTAAAATATCGATCGACATGAAACAACGGGCCAGATGTGTCTAAAGGAGATTCGACCGCCGTATTACTTAACAACGTGCCGGTCGGAGAAAGAGATCGATACGATATCTGCGGCAAATCTGTCCCGTGCAATCCGAGGAACGCAATTTGCGAGCCGATTTAGCGTGACGTATTGGAAACGGGATGTACAATCCGCATTATAATCTCGCTTTCCTTTAGGTAAGTTACATCCCCGAGACCTACGACTCGCCCAATCTATGCGGGGAAATGGTTTTATGCACACAAGCGATACCTCTGGGAACCGTTATCCCCGTCCACCGGCGCTGAATAATTGCTAACAGCCATCTAACCGATTGAAAATCAAGGATACGATGGGGATATGCCTGACAAACAGCTCGGGAAAGATTTCGTAGTTTCTCCTCGAACCTCCCGTTCTAAACAAATGCCGTAACCCACGAATATGTGATAAAATGGAAACACGTTGACAAATTTACTCTCTCTCTCTCTCTCTCTCTCTCTCTCTCTCTCTCTCTCTCTCTCTCTCTCAATTAAAATAAATTCCAAATTAAAGAATTACGAAAAATGCTATACACATTTAAAAATAATTACAACAACATACAATATCTACCGTTTACTATTATTATTACTAATTATAAATGTTATTACTACAGTCGAGCAAAGATCGAATAAAATCAAAAGAATAGTACCTGACAATTGGTGTTTTGTTTATTGGACAGAAGCCAGGCAACGTGACGGACGGAAGAGGCAACCTCCGAGGTGGCGCCCGCTTGCAGGTCTGCGTCTAGGACCGCCAATGTGTCTTTGTCCCTCTGCAGAGTGGACTGGAATTCCGCCCAGCGTGTGCTGTATTGCTGTACGGCTTGCAAAGAGCACAGCCGCTGGTTATATCTGGAAAAGAAAGGCGTGGATGCACGCGCTTGTAATAAAGATACTGCGTATTACTCGAAAAAAATTATTGTCCGAACGATTTTACGATGATGACAATCTTCGGAATGAGAAGCTCTCTTTTTCATTACTATACACGATGCAAAATTAACATGGAAAATACGATACGGTTGTGTACGATGCTTCACTTCGGTACGTGTCGACGACAGTGAGATTTTTTATTAAGTTTATTTCGTATGAATTATTCATCATATCTCAAAAGGGTGAATGAAAAGAAGGCGGAGAATTTTCGGACGGAAAAATCATGCGAGTCAATACAATAAAAAAACGCAGAAAGACGGTAAAGCCGTTGGGCAAACATTAAGACGTCGAATTATTAGCAGGCCTTCCCTTCGGCACTATCGGCAAATAAAAACACTTTATTCGAGGTCAATCTGAACGCCTCCTCCCCCCCAGCGAATATACGAATGAATCGAGGAAAGCTCCCCCCCTCCCATTGGCGTATCTGTCGGAAAGCTAAGAAGAGTTGACGTATATCGTACGCGTGCAGTGTTTATAATGTTAATAATCAAACACTAACGCGACGACTTTTCGCGTATACACGTATAAATCGCCGGCTAACCACGCGAATAGAAAAGTCAAAAAGCTCGAGAGCTATTTTTTGCTAAAATCATCCCCCATCAAGAATAGAAGTGTCTCTCCGTACTAAGCGGAGGGATAGGATTGACCTCTGCAAAACCCCAATGGGTCAGCGGTAAACCCCTTTGAATGGTCTAAACCCCCATCAAAAAGGGGGATCGAGTGCTCATATGGAAATTAAAAGGGGATTGTGATGATCGCGCTAACTATTCGTTGCTCACCCGGAGAAAAGTATCGCCGGAGAACTTGCGTGATTCGTATGTTATCTATCGTTTGTAACAATAGATCGCTTGAAACAAATTATGAAGAGCTGCGCGGGCTGTGTACAAAACTTCTCGGTAATAAATCGATTTTAACATTAAATATATCAGCGGAAATGCGGAAATGATAAATTTGTAAATTGAAATTGTACTACGCAATTGTATAAAATTTCACACACAAGAGGAGATTTCGCGTCTTACAGTTTCACGTTGGCAAAACATGATCGCGCAACGTGCCCTGAGAAAAATTAAAACAAATTGAAACAGAGTCGGAATTAAATTGCAGCATTCAATCACGCGCGAACGTTGCGGGGAATATCGATAAAATTAAGGCAGGAATTTACGAGTGAGAGATATCGACGATATTGTGCCGCACATTGACCCTTCCGAATCTCGATTCGTCGTCTTTCTGTCCGAGCTGTCACTCGAAAGAGGTCCATGATTAAACGCCGATCTCCGCTAAAGCTAGTAATCCCGCGACATCCCGGTCAAAATCCCAACGAGAAGAGCCCTCACTGGCGGTACCAATGCCGCTCTCTCGGTTTTCGTTGTTTGCTTTGGTGGCTTCATTACCTCTCAAAATATTTGCCTAACGTCACACACGCGTCGACCGGCAAACGGCCAGTCGATGATCCAGTACCAATCATTCTATTCTGTACGGGACGAGCCCCGGTTGAGCCCCGTGGTCAAGATATTCTCCAAATTAATCAAGAGTACTATGAAACCGTCAACATGAAAGGATTCCCTCTAAAATCTCCAGCGGAACTATTAAGAAAATTTACATTCACGGGAGGTGTTTCTAATTATGATTATTCAGAAATAATTGCGCACAAAGAAAAAGACTTTTTCAAACTGGATAAATTTCATAGCATCCAAACAAATTTCATCATTGGCACGCTCAGAAACTAATGTTTCGATTAATAAGCACGATTGTTAGACTTTTCGACGAATACGTATCTTTATCTTGAATAAAAGGTTCGTTTGAAACTAAAGATAATTTTCTTACAAAGAAACTATTCGTCTCATTTCACACACTTATCGCAACCAAATAATATTTTATTCGGTTAAAAGATATCATTTCAAATAACAGCGTTCCTTCTGTTAAATAATAGAGCTTTCTTGAATGAGACAGTAAAATTTTCACTCGGACGAATCATATTTCGTACACGTTGTTTCTATAAAACCAATTTTAGTCAAATAAATAGAAACGCTAAATCTAAAGAAACCTTTTTCTCTGTGCGGGATAAAATGCGGGGAAAAAGTTCCTTGCGAAACGTCGAGGAATTTTCTTTCCTCAAAACCGAGATGTCAACGAGAAAGAACAGAGTATCGTGCTGTATCGATGAACGGATCGCGAGGTAATTTGAGAAATAAACGCTACAACTGATCTACACACTCACTTTTGGAAGGTGTCGTCGCATATCTTACGAAGATCCTCCAAGCCGTCCTTAAGGGCTGTGTAGATCAATGGCGCAGAGGCACTGAGATCGGCGATCAGTGGCTTCGCGGAGGTTTCCAACGCGAGCATCGCCGCCTTGCGGTCTTTCAGAACAGTCAGCTCGGCCTGCAACATAAAATATACATTCTTAGTGGCTGGCTCGGTTGCCTAACTCAAACGAATTGCCTGCGGTGCAAGGGCAAACGCGCAAGGGGTCGCCCGAGGGTGAAGGTGATGTATAAAGTGGCCACAGTAGTAGACTAAGAATCCGGATACACGTGGGGGTCTAAGCGAGTTTTATCGCGTGTCCGCCGCGTGTTTCGAGCTTTCCTTCATCTAAGCCGACCGACCGACCGACAATGTCGCATTCGGTGAGACTAGATCGCTGTCTTCGGTTTCGTCGAGAACAGTCCCTGGCTATATTATTAGACGCACCTTAATTTTTTTACATTTCACTGACTCCCGAGAACCAGCTTTATAATACGGCTCGTCTATCGATCGAGTTATGTTAAGGGACCATTATTCTATAAAAGGTACTTTTTATGACGTCATCTCACTCGGCTGTTAATTGAAATTCAGTTTTATTTTTGTTTATTTGCAACTTGAAACTTCAAATTCCTCGCTTACCGGCGGAAAAATAAATTTCTGCGTAAAAAATATTAATATCGGATAATATAATTTACAAAGATTGTGAGGGGAAACAAGGTGATTTGACAGTTCAGAAGGTTGCGTAGGTAAAAGCGCTATTCGACGCCGAAGATTATTCTGGTCCAGTGAAAAATAAAATTAGTAGCTTTTCTCCTCCTCCTAACCTGTATTCTATTAAAGAATCAAGTTACGTCTAATAACATAGCCAGGGACTGTATAAGAGAGTCAGAGGGGTTCGATAGACCGGCGATAGATCGATCGGGCACGGCAAACAGCGAGCGCCAGCGGCCGACTGTTTCGGAAGGAAGGAATTACTTTTAAAGAACGTAAGAGGACGAGACGAAGGATATAAGACGCACGAGATGACCGCGAGGACGAGCTTTACGAGCTTTCTCGGACGTCTCCTCGTCACGCGATGAGCGAGAGAAATGGAACAGGAAGAAGAGGAGGAGGAACGGGCCTCTCGTTTTCGTTCTCTTACACCCTGTGTCGCCGTCGTAAACCCGGGTTTATTTATGCGGTCCTCGTCGGGAGCGTCCCGCGCTAGGACGACGCGGGGATGTGACAACGTGACGTGGTTACTGCATCGTACACCGCGTGTCTCTACAATCCTTATATTTAGCTATGCCTGATAAATGTCTTTCCCCGCGCGCGTGTCGCTCCCGACGACGGCGACACACGATCGAGCATGCATCCGCGGTCGATCGATCGATCGATCCTTCGCGTTCCTTCTCTCCCCCGTGAAGGCCGTTGAAGATAACCTCAATCAAAAATGTATATACTTGCCGGCTGGCAAGTTTAGCCGGTTGGTTTTGTTTGCGTCGTCAATCGAAGCAAATCGCACGATAAAAAGGAGAACGGCCATCCCGATAAAAAGAGCGAGAGAGATAGAGAGAGAAAGTGAGAAAGAGAGCGAGAGAGAGAGAGAGAGAGAGAGAGAGGAGCGGTTGCGCAAAGTGCGCCGCGTGGATTTGCTCCGGTGTCCGGCGAAAAGTGGTTGTCATTGATATTCCGCGCGCATAGCAAAGGCAGAAGCGACCGCTCCGCTTCTCCCCTCTTTCGTAACCACCCTGCTTCTCTTCGCCGCCGCCACCACCATCAGCATCAACGACGCATAACCAGTGGCAGCTACGCTTCCCCCCGACCGCCGAGCCGCACCCCGACTAGCGACCACCCTTGCACCACCGTTGTGCCCTCGCAGACACGCACATTCCGATCTAATTCAATTTCCAATCAACAGCCAATCAATTGATTCGAATTCGGTATACAGAGAGCGGTCGCCGCGCGTTCGGGACCTGCATGCCTATGAGGCGGCGGCCGCCACCGTGAGAGCACGTACCCCGTAAAAGTAGAGAATTAGCTTTTTACGTCTCGTAATTCCGCGGCACTAAGTGGAACGGAGATCCACTGCCACAAGTATTTTAATTGCGGCGCCAGCCACGGTATCCCCGGCGGTAGTATCACGTTTACGCGTCTCTCTCTTTCTTTCGCAAAGAAGGGACGAAAAAGCGTGACGCGAGAGCGGAGCGCGAGGAGGAGGGGGAGACTATTTTTCGAAATTTCCACGAGATACCCACGAGTGTTGGAAGTATCCACAAGTAATGCCGTTCTTTTTTTAAGATTGAATATACGGGAAAAAATTGAGTATCAATTTAAGTCTTATGTATTTCTAATAGAAATGATTGTTTCGTACGTAAGCAAGAATATCTTTAGCAATATCGTAAGCGAGATTATCTCCTTAGAAGCTATCCGGGCGTCTGTTTCAATTTACTCTTCCCCGTTCTTCTTATTGCCTCGATCTTGAAATAAGACAGAGAAATTGTTATTATAAAAACTTCCAACAATTCAGTTTGATATTATAAATTCTACTTTTTCCAAGAATAAGATATATTCAGATAAAGAAATGCAATTTCAAGTTCAAGAAATTATAATTCTCGATTCGAAGATATCGTTCTTTTCTAATATTCTTCACTTTCGATTCAAGAAGATTCTTCTTGAACAACGAGAATATTACACTTTTAGTGTAACTATATATGGAATTTCTTCGTGTAAGCGGGTTTTATCTATCCAACGCTATACAATCTTGTTTCAACATGTGTACATGTCAAGAATACAGATTTCCTCCAAATAAGAATATTCTTTTCCTCCGTATAAATATCGCCACCTTGTTTGTGGACGTGGATTTATTATTACATAACCTATGTACTAATTAAATTCATCGACATTTACTTTTCTTATTGTGAAATTTTGAAAGAACCAAATGTTAAATAACATAAAATCGTCTACAAGTATCAAAGAGCGACATTACTTACGGGCACCTTTAATATGTGTCGGACATCCCGTCTGTCTCAGGTGCGCCGCAGCGTGTTGCCCGTTCGCTCGTGACATTAATCATCGCGCGGAGATAATCCGATTCGGCGAAGGTAAAGGTAAGCGTGACGAGGACGGCAACGGGTTGCCGCCGTGTTTGTCCGATATTACGCAATAACATAATCAGCAGATGACGCGCGCCTCATCGAGCCGTGCGCGAATACGTGCCACCGAATGAGAGCCGCGTAGACCCAAATTGCGCCAACTGCTTAGCAATGCATAATACATACGAAACGTTCAATTCTGTCTCGCGCGCGTCAGTCTGTGCTGATTTGGCCGATGCGCGCTTTTCGCGCCGCGCGGCCTGCATTCCAATCGCAGATCGCTCGCCGCCACGTGTGTGTCGCGGACAATCATCCCCCGACAAGTAATCAGCTTGTTGACAGTTTTATCCACCGTGCAAACGCGTACACACACACATACAATACACGCATATCCACGACTACGCGTCGTTGCTCTTTGCATTCTCGACGAGAGCGAGCGAGCGTGACCCGATATTAATATATTCTCCCGCGTTAAAAAGCGGAACTCTCTTCCGTGACTCTCCCCGCTGCGAATTGGCGATGAAGAACCGCGATTTCCCGTGACCGAGGATGCGCGCACGACGTCCCGGCGACGTCGAAGACCCCGCGTGTCATCGAGAAAAAGAGAGAGAAAGACAGAAACGAGCGGCGCGACGTAAAGGGAACCATGTAAAACAAGAGCGCGGCTTTCGTTCGGACGCGGATCGGCGCAGGTTACACACACACACACACATCTCGTGCATAATGCAGCAGAGCGACGAGTTCACCCGGCAAATGTTGGACGCTAATATATCTTGATGATAGATAGGGAGCATGTGTTTGGTCTTCGCAATGAGGCTGGGAGGGTGCTGCCGAGGATATTGCGGGGGCGCGCGGGGGCGGCTTTCCGAGAGAGGTTCCGCCGGTGGTAGTAGGGCTGCTGGATCGTGCCGGAGGATCGGGGGATGACTCTCGGGGGGTGGAGAACTCCAGGGGGTTGGCTAGGTTCCGCCGGCGTTCGCTCCCGAGTTGCGATGCCGGGCACGTCGCCGTCAGACGAGCGTACGTGCGACACGACTACGCTTTTACGCCACTCTCTACCTTCTCTACTTGGTTCCTGACTGCTCTCTCCTACTCTTTCTCTACCTTCGGTCTCTCCTCCGTTGCCTCCTCCTCCTCCTTTTCCTGCCCCTCCTCGGCACCATCTCCTTCGCCCGCTTTCATTTCGTTCCTCCTCCCCGACCACGACTGGTCGAGCTTTCCCACCCGCTTTTCTGACTTTTCTGTCTTACCCGGCCATACCCGGAGACATTTCCAATAACGCGCCTTCTCATTGCGATTCGATTTTCCGAGGGACTTTTAGAAACTCGTCAAGGGCGGTGCATCTCGAGATCGCGGGATATACGGAAACTCTCGTCTCTCTTTCTGTCTCTTGAACGCTCGGATCTGACGAATTACGATGCAAATATTTCTCGCCAAGACGAAAGAACGGGACGACACAGGAAATGCCGACTCGCTGGTGTATTATATAAGACTGAATTTATGCAAAACCGGTAGTATCGTAATTTTGAAGAATTCGACATTGATAATTCGTTACTGACATGTATAAATCATCTCCGAGACACGTAACGTTGACAAAAATATTTCTCGGTTTGATCAATACCGGGTTGATGCATTATGAAAAATAATAAGAAGATAAAATTGTTAAAATAAAAGCCACGGCAATAACTTTTCTGTCGTGAAATTTTACAGTGAGCAGTTTTTGTTAAAGTAATTTCTCAAAATACGTTAAGATGCTGCCTTGAAAATGAAGAGAGTTTTTATATTTATATTAAACTCTGTCAGTTTTAGTACCGTCTTCTCAAGAAAGCTCACCGTAAAATTTCACGACCATCATTCCTATATCTGGAGCAAGATGAAAAGAAACGGATGATCCCTACTATATCAGTCGAGTTAAAATAGATCTCTCACTTAGCGGGAGATGCGTCTCTACCGGTACATTTACCGACAGTAGATTGAAATACACACGAGTAATCTGTTCACTGCTGGTAACAACTGACAAAATCTTAATAACAAAATTCTTCAAAATTACGTTTAAACAAGTTAGCATTAAACATAATTCGCGTATACCGATTGTATCAATGAAAAATACTGTAATTACGTTTTTAGGCGATTTAAGTCAAAATTATCTTTCAATCTTTCCAAAAGAACATCTCAAATAAAATATGATTCTATAATCCACGTAGTCTTGTATTGATTGGATATTAAACAAAAAAATATGCAAGAGATATATAAACATACAAGTAATACAAAAAATGTTTGAAAAATTAGTCTTGCAACGTTACATAATAGTTCTCATTAATGTCATCAATGCACACATGTTTCACAAACAGTGCTTAAACCCAGCTGGCTTTCTGACGTAAAGCGTAAACGCACTTTCTTGCTTAGGCTGCGCTCCAATATTCACAGCCAGTGTTGAAAATCTATAGTACAGGCAACATGAACTATAGATTTTCCGCGCTAGTGGGAAATTTTAAAACCCAGCTTTAGAAATAACTATTAAAACGAACACACGTACGCGAAGTGACGAAAACAGGTGGATATGAAGAGAAACTTACAGTGATTCCGTTAATACGACCGTCGAGCTCGTGCGGCTGCTCCCAAATGATCTTGTAATCGATCAGTCGATCGTTCGTCGCTTGGAACTCCGTCCGTATGGCGGTCAGTTCGCGAAAAGCGTTGGCCATTTCGACTCGCGACGCCAAGGTCTCCCATCTCTCGATTATACCTAAAAACACGTACGACATAATTTAATACTGATAACACACGTAAAACAATTAATAGTGCTTCACGTTACATCCAGTCGATTTCTTTAAAATATCTAATCTAAACATCTAATAAATTAAGCAAGTAAAAATATTAGTACCCATAAGTAATGTCGTTTTTTTTCAGATTGAATAAATACTATTAATACTAAACCACTATGAGGGTTTTGAATCCCAATGAAACCATAACTGCTGAATATTATGTAATATTGTATACACAGCTTGATAATGATGGAAATTATACTGTAGATTAATCTGTACTAAATATAAAATAAAATTTTGTATAAGTGTCAAAAAGCGACATTACTAATGAGGTGCCTCTAATATATAATAACAAAGATAATAACAACGATAATTAAATCTCGCTCGTTAAAATATATCTAAAGCCGCAGTATTCGCTAATGAGTTATTTATGAAGAAACGAATAAGAAAAATTAATTCCTATTTCTACCTTTAATGACTTCAGAAACACAATACAGTTTTATGAAGTACCTAACGTGAAAAAGTGATACCATTATAATTAATTTCACGAAATGGCACGCGATACGTTACTTCTCTATATTATTACGTAGCACGGTAATTTAACATAACAGAGCACATGTCCTTCCTAAATACTCAGCATGCGCGCACTCGTATAATCGACTGTTTCCTGCCGTTCCTTCTTCAGCGAACTTTGCGGAAACGCAAAAGAGAAAAGAGAGAGATACCAGTAATTACTTTCCCATATGTTTTTCGTTTCCGGCCTCTGAACTTGTTATTCGTTGCAACGGTTTCTTTTTTTCTCTTTCTCGCGACGATTTCAACGCGATTCTCACTGATCAGTTGCGCAAAGAGATAACATACAAAAAAAAAAACAAACCCGAAGGTCGAGGCACCTCTGATATATCCGTACTGTACGGCTTCCGTGACCTCTTTTTCTCGCGTGTCCACCACTTTCTTTCGCGCTGGCCGCTTTTTTTTCTCAGACCGAAACCGTGACTGATATATCGCTCGCCAAACGAATAAAAACGCGTCTAACCGATAATAAATAACGGTGAAATCGTCGCGCAGCGGAGGGAAGGGAATGGCGTGCGAGCGAAGCGCGATGTCGCGCGAGAACGACGCGCCGCCGAAACATCGCGGTCCGGAGGATCGTCCTCCGGGAAAACGGACCTAGGTTGCAGGAATGCTACTGGGGGAAACATCCGATGCATCTAGAAAATACCAGGAGGTTTTACACTGACCTACAGGAAATGACGGGCCGACCGGCCGGTGCGACGCGTAATAACGCGTGCGAAGCTCATACGCGCGCGAACGTAATGCATACAGACGCGCACGGTGGAATGTTCCGTGTGTTATCGTATGCTTCGTCGCGTACAATCGCTGGAGCGTAAATTGGCACTGAATGCGGCTCATCCTCGTCTTTTTTTAAACGACGTGCCGCGAAAAAAAAGAAACGAAACAAAAACGCGCGGAAAAACGAGACACCCGCACACACTCGCGAAAGCAACGATGAATTTAAAATTGAGATTCGCTCTTACGCAACGACCGGTGAACGCGAAACGGTGTTTTCCTATCGGTCAAGATTAGCATGTACGCCTGAATAAATAATAATAAATCAATGTACGATAAACAGCCGACTTTTGCAGCAGAAACGCGATGGCCTCGTGAGCGGATAGACGATCACTTTCCCGAAACTCTAATCGCAATTTCATTTCGTTCGGCAAAAGTGGAACGGCGATTACGAGCACGAGTCGTCAGGCCGCCGTTTCAAATCGGCGATATCGCGAGGGAAAGGACGATGATTGATCGATTTGACAGGTATTTGCGGAATTCGCTGCGCGAACACGACGTATTATTATCGTACGTGACAATAACGTGAAACCTTGGAAGAGTAATGGATAGTGCAGATAAATGTGGTAAGATAATTAAGGTTAATTGTTCACCATCTTGACTTTCTCATCGCACAATACGATATACTAACCGTAGAGACGGAAAAAAAGATAACTAAACAGATAAATTAATGATTATAAGCGTACGAAACACGAGCGATATTCTTCGAATTCGAAATCTTTTGAAGCTGTGACGCCTCCCTTGCAACGATGCGTGTGTAACTTTGAACGTCTACTTGAGTCTGTTCTTTTTAAGCGAGCGTCCGTTTTCCACGCTTTCGCGTTGAATGCATCGTTCTACCTTCTTTCAGCATGTAACGAGAAATAAAAATAGAACAACGCTTTCAGCACGAAAGCGTGCAAGATGATTTAGCCTTAGCTGAACTAGGTTGCACTTTTTGCCGTTAGAGAGAGACGACCTATACAACGTGCATGTCGAAAAAACGTCGTTCAGATCTTATTACTTCGAAAACATCCCTATGACGTCTTGAGACATCTTAATGCTTTCTGGGGAGTACATAAACTTAGCCTGCGTTCACAGAAACATCATATTGAGGATAGAATAGTATGATAAATAAATCTTTGTTCATTTCGTACCGATTGGTCAGTTAAAAATCACTCTACCCTCAGTGCGATGTTTCTGGACGCAGTCTGAAGGCAGCTATGAAAGGAAAAGGAATGAAGTTCCGTTGCAATGCTGGTTCGGTTAAAAAGAACAAGCCTCTTGTATCACGTTCGACCTTACTGTTCTCGTCGTTAAATCGCATCGACGCGACAATCGCAGCCTCTGCCGTTTACGACAGTTTTAGATATGACCTGTTCGTACTCGCATGTGACATAACAATTTCGCTAACATCCGGTGCCCAGCCCGTGGTATTATAACACCGCGTTAAATCGCGCTGAAAGTATCAAGGACACGCGCGCTAACGAAATAATCGCGAGACAGTTTTTGCGCGGAAACTATCGGACAGCAAAATAGTCCGCGGCGGCGTTCGCAGCGACCGTTAACACACGGAAGCGTCATGGCGGCCGGCAAATTCAAACGCATATTTTGTCGATAACGGATAAAGAACATTCGATGACACATTGAACATCGCCGACACATGTGACACGGTATGTACAAGCCGATTTAGCGATACGTCAACAATGCGACACGAGAAGAAACGATTCTCGTGCGAAGATTCGACCCGTCCGATGCGATACAACCGTTTCTTTTATCTTTCATCGAGCAACATGGCGACTGGTGTTGTTTAAGAAAAAAAGGAAATCTCGTCAACTACTGCGCCGCTCGTCGAGCGCAGAGCGAAATAAACGCTTTTCACGCAGCGAGAAGCGCAGTTCTCGGCGAATATCGCGGTGCGTTAATCGTGCGAACGTAAAGACAACACAATAGTAACAAAATAGCGCAACGGAACAAAGGTGTATACGTATGCGAACCTTTCCCATCGGCGATCTTTTCCCTTCGTGCGAACATCGGAGAGCGAATCGCGCGATCCTCGGAGTGAGAAACTCAACGGGAGCGTTTTACTCGCTCAACACTAGCGAGTACACGCCGAACCGTTCGCGCGCGTATCTTTCGCGGAGGATAAAACGCGATAGGCCGCCAAAACGGCCGAGGCAAACGTCCGTGGACGTTCGAGCCCGTCGAAACACTGACCGTGCAAGAACGTTCCTGTTCGCGCAACGGCGAGCGGGGGTCACATGACGGCCGGACGATACGAACGAATGGGCCAATGGGCGCGCCGCATTTCTCGCGCCAGTGCTGTAGCGCGTACGTCTCACCACCCCCACTCACCGCCGCCGTGGTTCCCAACTCCGCTATACCGATGATGCGTAGTAGTTCATATAAGGCGCGATTCCCGGGACCGGCGATATATTCGCAGCCTGCGTGTCCACCTACGCGCACCGTGGCGTGCAACATACGCATGCAATCAACGAGAAGGTACGGCGAGAAGGTAGAATTTGCGAGAGTCAAAACGGGTTTCAGAAGAATCAACGTCTCGCAGACGCACCGTACGTTTTCATTTATGTAACTCGCGCATTTACATTTCACTGATGTGAATCGTGAAAACGATCGAAAGTCGAATATTATCGAGCAGATTATACCTAAAAGCTCTCTCTTTGATTGTTATTTTGTATCAGGGGTAACCGTAAGTAATGTCGTTTTTCTTTTTTTCAGATCGAATAAACATCGCCATTCCCTGTTCGTGGATGTGATTTATTATTACATAACCTATACACTGATGAAATTTATCGACATTCAGTATGCTTATTGTGAAATATTTGAAGGACTAAGTGTTAAATGAAAGAAAATTTTGCACGAGTATCAAAAAACGACATTACTTATATGGGTATCACTGGTGATTACGGATGTTATTATTCGTACTTTTGCGTCTTGAGACGTTGATTTTTCCTCTGTCGGTAAACACGCATCAATACACCTGCGATCCAGGCTATTATTTGCTGTTTGTTAATTGTGTATAAGAGCCTTTATCTTGTGCGTGACTAATTTGTCGTTAGACGCTGATTACATAAAGCGAGACTAGCCTAAACGTGAGCGAGAAGACGGTCGAAGGGTTGCTTCGGTTAATTAATTAATAGTTAGGCTTAAGCTTAACGTCGCGATGTTTACGGCAGACAATGGCGCGAAGCAAAGAACGATATTCCTGATACGCTGTAGTCATTAGGACTGCGGATATTATCATTTTCTACTTTCTCCTGCACGCTCGGATGCGCTTATCCGAACGCTCGTCGACTAGAAAGTAAATTGCAATCGTTTCCAACGTCAATCTGAGCGTTGCCGCGGAAACATTGTCATGCGCATACGTGATTGCGTCTGAACCTCTCTAGCCTATTTTGAATATAATACAATAGCGTCTGTTACACCTCCGTGGATAATACCTGGCAGATACGCGTTTTTACGAATGACACGGAAGTTACGTAATTTTTACGTACACATATACACACGCGCACTTCATGTGCAGCTAGATATATCTCTCCGTAGAATAATGATTCCTTTGCGCTTTCTACTCTGTTTCTGACAATATTTCTTTCAATACGCTCATTACCTACTTTCTTTCGGTCTCTCTCTCTTTCTCTCTCTTTCTCTCTCTCTCTACTTTCCTGGCGTACTCGTGATTTTTATGCGGTTTATAAAATAGATTACAACTAGTACAGAATAAGAGTTTCTTTTTTCGTGTGAAAGTATATAATAGTAACAGCCGCAATATTTTATTGATTAATTATTACAATCGCCATACAGATCGCAAGAATGTGAAAGTAATATAGAGAAAAGTATAGATTTAATATAAGTTTTATAATACATGCCAGTAAAAAAAGAAGCGAACATGTAAAAAATACACATAAAGATAATTCTTTAACATAAGTAAAATGAGGCAGGGGCGAACAAAGTGAACATAATTAGTTAGATTAAAATTGAATGTGCACTTTTCTAAACTTTTCTACGTGATATCGGACACGGCTCTTAGTCATGAATGTTAAGTCGAACATTAAATTAGAGCGCAACGACAGTAGATTACGTCTATAATTTTGGCGCAGCCACATTCAAGGACGTGGTAACTTTTTTTTTTTTAGTAGATTTGCAAGATAAAACTGTGAGATCTTTGTACAATAAAAGCGAGCATTTAAAATACCGTTATCTGTTTGCTTATCTGACAAAAATAATCACGATTATATACTGATAAGTATAAGATAAAAGCGAATGCCACGGTGTATAATGCAATGTTACACTTTATATTGTTACATCTTATTCTTTAGCTATAAGCGTATATTAATGAAAAATATAAAAATATAGATACATATATATACATATATATGTACAAAATTACTTTTCGGAAGCGTATAACATAAAAATGTTTCTCCGAAAGATGTAATTTTCACTGCATGCCATCAAGAGGTAAGTAGGACAAGACCGCTTGAAGGCCAATGTACAAAGCAGCAATTATGTAGAGGAGCGAACTGATATTCATTAATTGCTGGTACTCACCGCGAACTTGCTTCAAATATTTTTCATTTCGACAGTATCCGTTCGGCGATTCCAACACAGCCTGCAAACACCCTAAGTTTTCTTTACACGCGGACTCCACTTCAGCCTATTAGAGATAGAAAGGCAAATTGATTAACTAATATGTCTGTACAGATGTAACGCAAGTCAGTGACGTAGATTAGCGTATTTTAGAGAGGTAAGAAAGAGGAGGAGAAGAGACACGATGCTGCAATTTGAGTAATAATTAAGAGATAAAAAAGATATTAGCGCATATAAACTACGTATTACAACGTAATTAGTGTTCTACAAATAGCAAAAAGCAACAGAAGAAACATACGATAGAAGCATTATCAATCCTAACCGTTATCTTCATTATTATTTCTCTCTCTTTCTACTGAACTGGAAATATGAATTGACTTATAAATTTATTTCATCACGTTAATTGCAGGTTATGCTATAATTATGAGTAATCACCAAATTACTATATTATTAATTACGCAATATTTGTATGTAGATAAAGTTATTAGTCATATTTGAGTAATGTGTTAACTTATTTATACGAGGACGTTAAGTTGTAATGTAATCGGCAAGATTAGAATTACCTAAAACTTCTAGAACCTTAATACACATAAAATAACGGAATCAATATGTACAATGCATATAAATTTTATTTTATTGTCACATGCTCTAGATTTTTCAAGTCTATGTTTCAAATTTTTGGATTTACATATTTTATAGCAGATATGCAAATTTTATGTCATAAGAATAATTAAATAAATATCACAGTATTTATCTTACGTCACTAATTACAATTCATGACAAAAGAAAGTACTTTATATATGTATATCCAGTCTCATCCAATAAGATATTGTGAGTAGCTGCTAGTAATATAAAAAAAGTCGACGTATGACGCAAACTTATTAATTAAATAAACTATGTCATGCACACACAGTATTTCACCTGTACTTCATGTGCAATACAACGTGCCAACTTAATAGAATTATTAACCTCAAAATGCGTGTTGAACAAAGCAAAAAACGCTTCTTTAAATATCTGTAACACTTTACGAACAGAGAACTATGTTCCGCAAGCACCATATATTGTAAGTGTAACAAAATACGTACGAATTCTGCAGGAATCACGCCGTTGGATTCAACAAAACAATCCTCGGCGTGTTTAAGCTGCGATTGCGAATTTTCTACGACATTACGTATATTTCTCGTATCTTTCTTTCTCGTATCTTCCTCGTCACTGTCGTGGTCGCCGATTTCCTACAACATTATTAGTTTGCGTGACTATCGTGCGTAGGCTAGTATTACATAACATGTAACGATTTCTTGGAATTCCATTAAACTTTGTATATACACAATACATGCATGTTTCATACATGAATGCTTTGGAGAATTTGCGTTTTACTATACACATATATATAGACGCGTTTTATTTATCCGTATCGACTGAACTCTTTATTATTTACCGATAAATATTTGCCGGTGTCTTTTAAGATTTTGCTTTTTGATTGATATAACATATTTATGTCTTGTACTATATATCTATCATGCATAACTTTTTCAAAATTTCCCTTTTAAAACATGCCACTAATAACACTACATACAACTAGCATTTATCTATTCTCATGAAAAAATAAAACACCTCTATGCTGCTTGAAAAGTTTATTTGTAACTATAATCTAAAGCAGTAATGCTTCATGTATGAATACGTATTGCAGTGAGGAATATAATAGAGAACATGGCAAGAACCGATATTACCTCGGCTACATTAGAATACATTAATATCCAGCTAATTCGATTGTGCGTGTGTATATATATATATACACACACACATGTTCGTTCTTTGTTGTGACGTCGGCTTTTCTACAGAAAAAATACGGATACTTGATCCAGAAAGAATAACAGTATGGGACATACATGATATGTGCGAATTTTAGGCAGTGGTGAACTGGCAGGAATCGCGCTTATACTGGACGCGCAGTCCGACTGGCTATCGAGGAAGTTTCGATAATCATCTCCAAAATCCAACAATCGCCGGGCGGTCTCCACATCCGGCGCTTCGCTATAAGTCTCGCTCATATATTTCTCCTGTAAATGGGTAGACAGATTGACCAATTGACACAGCGTCTCACGCACGACGTTATTAAGGCAACAACTATGCAACTTTCTGTCACCTGATAATTATCCCAAGCCTGCTCGGAGAAGGAATTATTGCCGAGACTGTTCATCTCCACGTCGCTGTCCATATTCAACTGCTGATTGCTCAGTTCCTTGTTTAGCACAGTGGTCAGCAGATTATTATCGTAAGTGAAATGTCCTTGGACACAATTATTATTATCTTCGCCTTCGGTCTCGGACGTGGAGGCGACCGACTTGCAGCAGAGCAGCCTAAACGGCGTAGGATTATTCGCGAGCGCCTTCTCCACGTGCAACTGTTGATGGACCGTGCAGCCCGAGAAAGATCCCGATTTGACGAGAGTCGTCGAACGATCGTGGCAGTCTTTCGAGAACGCGTGCATCGTGCGACCTGGATTCGTCTTGCGAGATGAACGCTGTTGATTCGTGCTGCCGTCGCTTCCCGCCGAATGATGATTGGCGTGCGCGCTTTCCGAACTAGACTCGCTCTTACGGCCCTATAAATAGACGAATCGTATCACATATTACACACTCGACTTCACAGCTCGGCCCCTCGCCAAACAGCTCGGGACACGAAATGGAAGGCACGCCACGCTTAAAACGAACGTAATCGAAAAGTTTTCGCATGTGAAACATGGTAACTCTCTCTTACCAAAGTTTTCTTTCGCAATCGGTTTTTCTTCCTGCGGAATGAGATATTTCTAACTGCGCGAGCATCGGAACAAATAATAGACTCCTCTAACAAAGTGGACGTCGAATTGTTAAACGATTTCCGTGGTCCTCTGTAATAGGAACGCATTCTACGGTAAATCTCACGTATGAAGAAAATAACGAATAAGAGAAGAAGAGGATGTAAAGATTGTCAAAAGACGACAGACTTACGCAGCATCCAAGGATACAGATTTGGTGGGCGGAGTTGCGACCAACTGATGAAGCGCAGTCTCAGATATGGAAAACTGCGAAATTGGATCGTTTATTTGCGCCAAATTAGGATTATCCCCGATCTGAGAAATACAAGACACGCTCCACGGCCGAGATCCTTTCGCCTTTTGTTTAGAACGCATTACGACCTTCGGTGTACTCGAATCTAACGCCACGTTAGAGGGAGGCGTCTCGTTGACAGGCGTTTTCTCGATGAAATCAAATATTTCTTGCGACATGGACGGCGACATGTGAGCGACAGCGCCTTCGAATCGGCGATAAGTCGCGACGCTACTCTGCAAATCGTCCGACGATATCGACTGCCTTTCCCCGTCGGATTCCTCCGTTGTGTATTCACCGCTGGCATCGCAGCTATCTAATGGCTGTAATAGATAGACATATGCGAATTATATGTAACCACACACGCGTCGTATCTTCCATTATCCAATACTACGAGTTCTCACGCGTATTCTCAGATAACGTCACATCGACGTACAATTTTCAAAACATAAAATTAATCGACAATCATTGCTTGACAAAAAAAATACTAGTAATACACAAAGCATAACTATGCATGCAGGATTTATTACGCCGATTTCAATACTTTTGACTCGAGAACAAATCTGATCTACCTTTTATTAAATGTGATCTTTGGCTCTTGTTATGCAAGAAAGACCCGATTCAGAGTACGTTTCGAGAAAAATGAAGATGAAATTTTGATTTCAACACGATTTAATAAGTATAAAAAACGCCAAAATTCTTTATAATTGTTCAAGAAGCCAAGCATGGTTCATTTTCTTTTCCTCCAGGATATACATTGGCAAGTTTAACTCTTTAAAAATGTGTAAAGGAGATGCAACTACATTGAAAAAAAAAAAAAAATTAGTCTTAAGTCAAGAATAGATATTTTCATATATAAACAAGAATATTATAATCTTCTTAGGAGATCTTCGGTCTTGATCGGATTTATATTGATGCAAGTATAACTTGAACTCAATTCAAGACTAAAAGTCTTCTAAGAAGATTTATAATATTCTTGCTTACACATGAGAATATTTATTCCCGATTTAAGATCTATTTTTTTCGTGCAGTAAAAAAGCAGAACTAGTAGAAAATAAAAACTGTTCTTTAATCAATTTCAGGCGCCCATAAGGGCTTGGACCTTTTTGTTTTATGCAGAAAGATGTATAAAATTACTCATTGGTAACAAAAATTAAAAACTCATAATTTCGTGAGTTGGATCCTCCTTGCACAACTATTGGCTAATCGAGCTTACCTGTGACCTGCCCTCATGGCCTCTGGCCGCGTTCAATTTCAGCCATTCCTTCACGCGGGCGTACTTAACTCGATGATTATTCGTAATGTCCTTCTTCTCGAACACCAACGGCGGGAAGGTGCGCGAGGCGACCGTATGCCTCTCCTCGCCGATCAGGTTCTCCACTTCCTTGATCAACCTCTGAATCCTCGACTTGTCGTTCCTCCTCTCGTCGTCGCTGTCTTTCTGCTGAGCATCGCACTCGCGGGCCTGTCCCATCTCTTTCGCGCTGCTCGCGCCGCTCGTTTCCCGCGCGAAACGCATATTCCCCGACGACACGTCGACGCCTGGGCTCTCGTCGAAATCTAGACGGACCACCACGTTCGTTTTTCGCTGCTCCGAAACGACGGAGCTATCTCGGCGGGAGGAAGTGTACGTCCACTCCTCCTCGGAGGAATCGTCCGCCGCGTTGGGCGATTCCTGGATCGGCTGACCGCCGTCCGCCTCGGAGTCGGTGTCGAGATGCTTGAAGTAGAAGGTAGCGCAGTTCTTCGACTTTCTGTCGGACCTAAACATCGGGAAACGATACGATATCGGATCGGCTTACTTGACACTTTCGTGAGAGCTCGAGACTAGTGCAAGAGCTTGCGTTATTTCGGCGAAAACTAATAAAGCGAGATAACGGCCGATCGATCTTAACAGGATTCCCATGGAAAATGAATGTTGAAATTCCCCGACTTTTTCGCGTTTTCCCGACCACCTGTGGTGAATTTTCCATGAGCAATATGCAATCTTAAACTGTAATGTTTAGAAACAGGGATTGCAGGAAAGGTAGTTTATATTATTAGAAGCAGAGTTGGGAAGTTACTCATTACTTTGTTTTCCCAATAATAATTTAATAACGACGTGTACGGTGTTATCTCCATTAGTAACGATAACGGTAAGGCACTTACATTGTTTCGGACAACAAGTGTAATTGTTAGTTTGCATATGTACGACACTATTTTTCGAAAGTAACGCGTTACTCCTAATTTTTCTAATTTCGAAGCAACACAAACTTAAAAGTAGCATAATATAATCCTGAATACAAATTAAGGCCAATAAAAAAATAAGCGAGTATTGGGAAAAGGAATACAGTTGAAAGCATTTAAAGGAATTGTGAGCAAAATTGAAAATTCCAGGTTTACATCTTTCCTTGTCCTTTCCAGGTTTCCCCTGACACTTTGAATTCACGACCTTTCCCGATTTTCCAGATCTCTAGTAACCTGCTTAAGCTGGGTATACACTGAGCGAACGAACAAAGAACGAACAGCGAATGCAAACTTTCGTTGCTACAATGTGGAAAATGTGCGCGCCCCGACGAATCCGAACCGAACGTTCCAGGCCGATTTGCTCATAAGACGGCTCACCAAAGAAAGTTTGCGCGCGTTAAAACGCGAATACACACATCCGTATCGCACATTCGCCGTTCGTTCGTTGTCCGTTCGCCCGGTGTGCACCCACCTTTATAATTGCGGCCCGGTCGCCGAAATTTCGCAAGGTAGCGAAGCGTGGCGAAAAGGAAGAGAAAAAAGAAAATGGGGAAAGAAAAACGCGACTCACGTGTTGAACGAAGCAACTTCGTCCGTTGGCCCGCGACGTTTCGTAAATTCGCTCGTCCGAAGACTGTTGCTCGACTTTTCGGCGCTCTCGATTTGCACGGCACCCGCCGCGTCGATTTCGTCGCACGTCTCCTGCATCGCCTGCGTCGACGTGGTTATCGGCACGGTGTCCGGTGTAGGTGGCATGTCGTGCTGCTCGTTGTCGCTTACTCCGCTTTCCTCGACGTCACCCTCCTCCCCACGATCCTCCAGGATAGACGCGACGAGATACGTGCCTTCTTGTTTCTCCAGTTCGTCGGACCTCGTGTCCATCACACACAGCTCACGTAATTCATCCTGTATCGTCACCCGGAGCGGGATCAACAATCAATATCATCGACGATAACAGGCGCTCTTGCATCTATTGTATTCATACCGATCAGATTATTCGATACAAGTCTCGCGCGATAAGCGATTAATCAGCAGAGTGGTGTTTAGGATCTGTTCACAATTTTGTCGTAGGTTGTGCTTTATGCAGCAGCATCGGTAGATCGACAACAAAGCTTGCTTTGCGTCGTAAATTTGAGCGTTAGAGTCTTTCCAGTAAAATGATTGACTCATAATTCTGAGATAATGTTTTATGCCCTCGATCTTTATCTAAATTATCATTTGTTTATCTTTTCTTTTTTTATTATACAACGGTTCGTCAATTACAAACGGAACGGCTTTTTAGTTGACGTGAAGACACGAGATGCAGGACAATCTGGCGGGGTCTACGATGAGAATTAAAGGCGCAAGAAATTGACCAATCGTATTTGATCTTTCTTCTGTAATTCGACCGCGATTGGTCAATTTCTCGTGCCTTAAATTCTTATTGTAGACCTCGCTTCATCGTGCGTTATTTACGGACTTAAAGACAAAGACTTGAGGCACCAAACATCGTCTCGAATCGCCGATATGTCAGCCAGATCCTGCTGAGGCCCTTACCGCATGTTGTAATATACCGGGCGCGCGTACAACGTGTCAAAGTGAAAGAGATAGCTTAGCTTGAACCGTGTATCGATACCTACGACTTCAAAAGAGGTACCAGTTTCGAGAGTCTTTCGCAACGAGTCTCCGCCCGACACGAATACCGTTGTTTTTGTTACAGAAGCGACCGTTATTTTTTGTCCGAAAGATCACCACGGCCTTCCTACGGTCGTCTTCTTCTGTACTATGCGTGATGCCGTGATCCGTTTCACAGAAGTGTTCATCGCGTTCTCTTAGACGACACTTTACATCCACTTAACACATTCGGATACGCGCGCGCTCCGCTCCAGCAGCCTACGCAATGTGGAAATGGAATGTGTAATAGCTTTTATCTCTCTCTCTCTCTCTCTCTCTCTCTCTCTCTCTCTCTCTCTCTCTCGTCGTCGAGAGCTAATTGGATTCCAGCGTGATTACGAGATTCGGGGAAAGGAAGCGCAATTCGCGATTCTCGCGTAGACCTTCGTCTCGCGGACGAGCGCGCTCGTCGAGGTCGCGCTCTCACCGAATTTATCTCAAATATATATAATAAAAATAAGCGCGATACGATCAATAATGAAAGATAAGGTCCACCCATTATCGTCCGCATCGGAGGCAACGTCTGCTCTCGCTTGTGTGTGTGTGCGCTCTCGCAGGACAAGGAGCGGTTAATATTTCTACGCATGAATCGTGCAGCAGCGCGAACGAAAACCGGGTCAATGACTCGTAATAGTCGTTTCGCGACAGTAGTATGGAGAACAATAGCAGCTGCCGATTCGAGGAACAACCGCCCCGCCGTTTCCTGCCTTTGGCAATTTTTCGTTAAAACGTGGAAAAGCGAATGCCTCCCTCTTCGGTCTTTCTATACGCCGCCGTTTCATCGGTACGGCGTCGACGAAAATTTCGATAACATTCTCTCTCGGTGAAAACTAAACGCGCGCGCGCGCGTGTGTGTGTCACGTGTGTGTTGTGTTACATATTAATACAACTGCTCCGTAAATAAATATTTAAGTTCTATTTATATGTATATCGGGATGAAAAAAAAACTCTCTCTCTAAATTTTTCTCTTGTTTTTCTACACGCGACTATGAAACAAATACTCTCTCTCGCTGCCGTCGAATCGCGTGATTCGTTCGCCGCAACAATTTCTGATACTCTCCGACTTTTTCCGACTTAATATTCGTCCTTTCAACGACCAAAATCCTCCGCTTCTGCGGTCACGACAGCGCTCCGATGATAGAAAACGCTCGAAATCGCGGGGATAATGGATTTCACGGAATGAATGCCGGCGGAGGTAAGAGAGGGACTCCTCGCGTCTAGCCCGAGCTGAATTAAGAACGCGGCCGCCGTTCCGACGCGAAAGAAGTCGTTCTCTCGTGCTCGTGGAAAACACGGTACGTACCTCGAAGTACGATCCCTCGCCGACGGATCGGTTCTCGGAAGAGACCTCGCTGTCGGATAGGTCGGTGGTCCTCGCGGAGACCGGACGGTCCCAATACTCGGATCGCGAGCGTCCGACGACGCGCCTCGCGCTGCGCGCCGAGCGAGCCGACTGACTCGGCGGGGATTCCGTTCCGGAGCCGCGCGATCGTCCGCGGCTGAGACGAGGCTGTTTCGTGACTGGTTCCTCGTCGCTGTCGCTGCGGTAAGGCACGACGTTCTGAAAGCATGAAAAATCAGACCGAGTGGCATCTCCCTTTGATTGACTACGACGACGATCGAGAACTTTCGACGCGACGACGAATTTGCGATACTGTCGATTTGTTATTCGCGGCGCTCTCGACGCGCCAACGAGCCAAAACATGCGAGCGGATGTGGCGGTGGAGAAACCGCCGACACTTATCTTGTATTAATAAACTTATCACTCACTATCAGCGCGATGCGTCACGCGCGCGCAACGAGGCCTGAATCAGTGATCGGCTGGTAGGACAGTTTCAGATATCCTTGACAGAGCGAGTAGTACCTGAGGCAGGCACCTCGTAGAACGTAGAACAAAGCCTTTCGGGACCGACAGGAAAAAGGTAGGGCGAAGGTGGGGATAAGGTCCGCAAGCAGGTAAGAAAAGCACACGGACGCCGAGTTCCTTTTTCCACCGGCCGGCTAATGTATACGCGCGCTCTTGCGTTGCGGGATTTGTCAACAAGGAGAAAAAAATTCCCCTCTAATTTAAATATAGAAAATGTTACCAGTTTTAAATATAAACTAATCTTACGGATTACTTCGGTCTCGGCAGGCTGTCACGAATTCATCATACGTTATCTGAAAGCTACACAAACTCGCAAACTTAACCGGCCGCGTTAAAATTTTTCTCTCCTTCCCTCCCCTCCCACTCCCGTTGCAGGTATCGATTTGTTCGAAATGAACCATCTTTTTTCTAACTTGGTCTCTCAGTGCGTAAGTCATCGTTTAGATTTCTACTTAATGCCGAAGGAAATGATTTCGCGCGAGATGGATTGCGGCGGAATGCATTTAAAATATATGCCTATGCTGTTAAAGCTTTCCTTCCGTCCAAGAGGCGGCGAGTCTGGGCGTAATCGCGCTACTCAATATATACTATTCTCAATGGTGATCAATTGCGAAGCAAGTCCATCAATTGTACCCGCCAGCTTGGATCAGAGACTGGCCACCCTCAATCTCTCGACGTCGCCCGTTCGTTCGTCCTCATCGATCAGACGCGTTGTCAGACGCGGTTTCCCAGCTAGTTTGGCTTTAATTATTACGACCGGGACGTAGCGGGAACCGAGCTACAACACTCACCGAACAAAATGCCGGCACATATTCAAAGCGGTACTTCGACAGGGCGAGAGAGAAATAATCTATGTCTTAACGGGACCATAGGCACAACGGTGCAGCGAAATTATCCATTTAAGTACGCAAAGAAACTTCAGTGGAGACGCCCTTCTACGATTCGGATAGGCTCGTTGGCACACTTTCGACCACGCGCTCTTTTAGATCACGGAGACATCACTTCAAAGTCACGAGCGATGTTTTCGAGACTCCAAATTTTGCGTGTGCAAATGATTGAAAAAAAAAAAAGAATGATTAAATAAGAACCTTGAGGAAGATTTGACACTCTTTCACCCGTAGTTACGTCATTATTTAACCAGGGAATAGTCATCTGGGGTCATTTCATACCCCAGCGGTCAGAAAGTGAAGCTTCACGTCGCAGTGGATTTTTTTTACCGATCGGGAATCAATGTGTACTTTTCATTTGGATATTTAGAGACCTAACCTGTGCAACGAGAATAGGCTATGACCCGGTCTTATTCATGGCATAAGATTATAAAGAAAATACATTGTACATTGTACATTAGGGTACAAAACGTCCAGGTGATCGTTTACGTTATAAAAGTAGTCAAGTATTGCAAGAGTTCGTGTTGTCAAGACAAGATAACAAGTTTGAATGAAGTTATGTGTACCCATACACCCAGTAAAAATTATGCTTTTTATTTAATAAATATAAAATATTTATATTTTAAAAAATTTATAATTTTTTCTGTCTAAAAATATTTATTATGTTATATATTTATATGATACAATGAAGAGATATAAAAATAAATAATTTTTTACAATCCTGAATCAATACTTAATAATAATTATATTAATAATTTTATATGACGGCGATTTAGCCTTACTTTACACTCTCTTATAAAATGAATGTTATTTAATATGCTTTCGATCTTTTTTAATAATTATTCTTTACGAACCTTGAAATATCTTATTCCATCGAAAATGGGCAATAAAACAGCGTTTTTTAAATTAATATCTACATTTATTAGAAATATTATCATAATAAGACATTCGATGTGCTTATTCCGATTCTTAAATATTTTTTTGGTTCTTCCCATTTTTTTTCAAAAAATAACGAGTAAATCTATATTTACAATGTCTCTAAATGATAATAAATTATAGAGCAATCGATAATATGTTATATTTTGTTAATAATAGTGGTTTTTAATTGGGGTCGAAATGATTCCAGGTGACTGTTTACGTAGTGAAAAAAAGTAAGACGACTATTCCCGGCTTAATCATATCGGTAGAGATACTTAAAAAGGTGAAAGGCCTGAAAGAAATATGAAGCAAACAATAGTAACGGCGGAGGACTTACCTTGTTTCTTATGTGAGACGCAAGAGCTTCAATGTGACACTGCCATTCCAAAGCCCGTAGAAACAGATGATGCCAACGCCGTTCCAATGATCTCACTGTCTCCAAAGGAGGTTGCGGAGAATGTTGTTGTTGTTGCTGCTCTTGGTGTTGTTCTTGTTCATTTTTCCGCTGCTGCTGTTGTTGCTTGAAAACTTTGTCTCCTAGTTTCACAACCGAGCTGACGATACGACCGTGCGCCTCTATGTCTCGTTGGAGTACCTGAAACGAAAATTTGCCGCGCATCCGTTACCGCCGGAGTCAGACAGAAAATTCAAGCAGGTGGAAATAAACAACACCGTAAATTCTAGTTTTTACTGTCCCGGTTTTACCCAACGGAATAAATTGGCAAAAATTATAGAAAGAATTAATATGTGATATTTTAAATAAAATATATTATATTATAATATAAAATATTTTTATATAACTTTATATTATAATATAAAGTATGTTTATATAACTTTAGGCATAAAAAGATATTTTTGCATTAAATAATAAATCATATTAATAGTAAGTCATACTAATCGCTATGATGTTACTTCTGACGTCATTAAATAAGGACATAGTGATTACTCCGGAGCCTTAAAGAAAAACGAAACCAATATAATAAGTTTTTTTTTAATTCAAATTGATATGTAAAGTCCATTTTTCAAGCAAAAACTTTGGAGATATAAATGTCACTAAATTTTATATTAGTTTTTAGTTTAACGGGGAAAATACAATAATGAGAAAATTAAAAAGTTTTATCAATATCGATCTGGTTCGCATTTACGTTTATTTTAACTTTATTACTTTTGAAGATGCCATTTCAATATCGCGAAATTGTTACACTTGATAGATCACAAGCAACACATTTCTGCTTATTGATGTTATCAACACAACAGAATATAAAGCCAGTACAGTTATTTTGTGTCTTCCTCTTATTGCATTTTTCAAATTACTCATGTTGATTGACTACTACTACTACTACTTCATCGTAAACGAGAAACGCATAATATTAACTTTAACAGCTGCGTGGAAAGATTTATAGGGGAAGTACAAACGTACGATCGCGCACTTTTCACTTTGTTTCTTACGCGCAGATTCTTGCGCACAGAATCATAAGTAAGACTGCAGGGCGCCTCGGACTGCCTGTGAATTAGAATACCGATAAAAAAAATGATTTTCCATTTATTTTATCGTTTCCAATAAAAAAGATGAATTCTGCCGATTTTTCCCCGGATAAGCCAGTTTCTATCGCTAGCGCTTGATCGCAACAATCTGAAACTTTGCGAACCTTACAGTAAAACAAAATTTTTATCGAATTGACCAGACAGTGAACGAAACGCGTTTTGGCCGGAGGAAACAGAACTCCTGATTATAAGAACCGAATCTGGATCACGAGAGCCAGAAATTCTGTTCCTTTCAACCGAGACGCGTTTGGCTCGCGTGGTTACCGCGCGTGCAGGAAAAAGAAAACAGAAAACAATGCCGAAGAACACAGAGATCTCGTTCGCGCGTCTGATCGCTTTCAACGCTCTTCTCCTCCGGATGCAGATCCACGCTCAGCTGTCAGAACGTGTCCACGTAGGTGAGGAAATATGCAAAATAGTTCGGGCTGCTGAAATCAAGCCGCCTGACTACACTAATGGTGATTAATAATACAACGGGGACCGGCGAGTTCGCGCGCGGGTAAGATCCAGTCGGAAGAAAGTAAGCGCGCAGCTTCGAGGCTCCCGCGGAACATTAATCGGCACACAGTGCGCACGCCAACCAGAACGGTAAAGGTTAAGTGTGCTCGTATAAAAGAAACGCTAAAATTCTTTATCGCTTCCGCCGAAGTAAGCCAAGCGAGCGCGCGCGTTGATGCCTGCGTATGTTCGCGCGCGCGCTTCCTCAAATCGCGACTTCGGATCTCGCGGGGAAACAAAGGTGTCGAGTATCACCTCCTCCGACTGGCCGATATTAGCCCACTTTCTCTGATAGATTGCATATGATTATGTGTGATTGTTCTACTTATCTCACACCGCGCGCGACGCGCGATCGGTTTGCTTTCACGGCGCGAGCTTTTTCTTTCTGTACGATTCTCACCGTACACGAGAGCAACCACTTTTGTTTTCCTTACAATAAAACCGCCTGGTTCTTACATCGTCCGGACAAGCGTCGTCGTTCCCTTCATTTCGTTTCCCATTCGAACGAGCGGAGTGTGCCGGCGCTTATGAAAGTGCGAATATCTCTCCTCCGCGACAGGATACGTGCAACGTAGAGAGGATCGAGGCGGATGACTTTATTCGCAGAAAACGCTGCGTTCCTGCGGTAGGTCAGTCACCGCTAATAAACGGAAAGAATTAAATTACGGCCGCTCGTAAATCGCGCTACGCACCTCCACGGCTGCACTCGCGCCGCCGGCTTGTACATACAACGTGCGTACTCTCGTAAACTTCTTCTTGTATATTTCTTTCCGGCTCTTCCGGAGCTCTCGACGTCCCATGCGCGCCGTCCACGCAGGGAAGAGACTGGCGCATTAATAAAATTTACGTTTCATAAAACGTTATAAAGATACAACGGAGATTTCGTCGGCCTCCGCCGCCGCCGAGGGGCGATTTGTTTCTCGTTTTATCATTCGTTTTCGTTATTGTACGATGGCGTGCGAGAAACGCGATATCGAAACGGTACCTTCCGGAACGGTATTTTAACGGAACGTCGCCGAGACTTTTCGTAACTTTCGGTCTACATTCCGATCTCGCACAAACAGGGCAATATATATACATAACATATGTACAGGTTGGCCATTTTATTCGATACACGTCAATATTTCCAAAAGAAGAGGTTTTTCCAAAAAAATGTTTCAAACGGAAGAATTAAGGCTTCGAGGAGGAAAGATGATGGCGTTATGGCGTTAATTTAATCATAAGTAACTCTACTTCCGAGATTTTATCGTGGTGGCCATTTCTTTTAACGGAAGCCGATTTTTTCTCGAAATAAAACTTGTAGCTGATGATGAGACGAATATAACGGATTTTTTTTTTAGATCATTTTTCATTGAATTGTGTTCGTAAGGTTTCTAATTTACTGTTACTAAAACGATCAATATACGTACATCGTTCTCACCACACCCATGTCTTTGTTTCCTACGTACCGAGTAAACATTTATTTAAGAGCTCATTAGAGTAACTTGGTACACAGGAGATAAAGACGTGGTTATGATGAGAACGGTGTACGTGTATTGGTCGTTTCAGCGGTAGTAAATTACAAACTTTGAAACGCTGTAACTCAGTGAAAAATGATCCGATTTCAAAAAAGAAAAAACCGTTGTATTCGCCTAATCATCGGCTACAAGTTTTATTTCGAGAAAAAATCGAATTCCGTTTAAAAAAAATGGCCGCCATGATGAAATCGCGAAAGTGGCGCCATCCACAATTAAATTGATAATGCCATCATCTTTTCCCTTCATAGCCGTGAAACTTTTGTTTAAAACATTTTCTGAAAAAACCTCTCTTTTCGGATATTCGCGTGTGAATTGAATCAAATGGTCTACCCTGCATATATATATATATATATGTATAATATACGGCTGCACATGTGGAATCTGAAAAGTTACAGGCAGGGTATATCCTGCGACAAAATGTGTACCGTGTAGATCGTAAAGAAGTAAAGCCTACTGCGCATACAGTACGCGCGCGAGTGAGTAAACTTTGCGGACGCGTTAGCTTTCATGGGAAAGTTTAGCGACAGATATTGAAGAATCGTAAAGTAAGTTGCCGTGCGCGCGGAGAGAGAAACACGACCAACCTCATCCAAGGTAAAGTGGCATGTAATTTATAGTTGAATCCGCGGCGTGCTGCAGGGTCAACGCGAGAACGTGAGATGAGCCGGGAGATGTTGCATCGGTAGCGGTTTGCGGATATTGTTGATTGCGTTATTGACATTCGGCGATGCACAACAGCGCCTCGCTGTTGTGTAGTTTCACACGGAGTCGGCCGCGCGATCGACTGCAGAATTTCATCGGCAGGTATTCCCGTGTTCTTGATATTTGTATCTGTCTTTAATGACGGAGAGAGATTCTTTTGCGTTTTTCAGATGGAAGGAACGAACTCGAGAAACTCGAGAAGAAAACCGTGGGATCTTTGACATTAAACGCGAATCTATACAGAGAAAAGTACTACTGTATTACTATAAGAAGAGAAGCAATTATTCAGGTTGTGTTTCTTCTTTTAAGTAACGGTTATCTTAAACAAAGAATATTTCTCCATGTTGTATTAAAATATACCCCGTTGAAAATATTCTCCGTTGAAGATAACAATTATTTAAAAGAAGAAAAATAGCTTTTCACTTTTTAAATCACTTTTCTTCGCGATACAAGTGATATCGCTCCGTGTGCAGCAGAGTGTGGGGAACGGGAACTTACAAATAGGGATCTGCAAGAAAAAAGACGAAGAATCAAGATCGCGCATTTTTTTTTTTTTTCTGGAAAAGTTGCGGAACAGTGAGAAAGTTGCCGCGCAGAGGGAGAGCCGGTTCGCGCGATGATCCGCGCGACACAATTCCGAGAGGGCATTCTTTTCCCGAGATGGAAATTAAAAGCGTCTTTCCAGCGCTCCTCGTACAACTGGTTTTCCAGTCATTTGTACTTGTCAGGGTGTCGTTGGCTCGTCTCAAGTTGAAGGTCCCGACGTTGGGTGCTGCAACAACCTCATCGTAGTTGGCTTTTACGTACACACGCTTGTTGTACGTACAGCGACGAGCGATCGATAAGTCAAATCGTCCGCGCGGAAATTACTTTTCCCTCGAGGGAACGAGTTTCCCCTCGTCGGCTGATAAGAAAAAAAAAACACGCGAGTGAACGAGGCGAAACCGAAGGCGACGCATCCTCGGTGACATCGTGAAATAAGTTGCGCGATACAGGAAATGACTCGAACGGATGGGCGTAATGTATGACGATAATGCCAAAGATGCGGGCTTCTCCCTCGCGAGGACACGCGATGCACAAGTCATGTTTCTAATACGCGAGCACCGTCTCCAGTTCTGTCACGAGGTAGCGATAATGTGTCCTCATCGTCGGCCGACGAGGAGTGAAACCCACGTCGAATCACGCGAGGACTCGCGCGGCGATAGTAAAAGTAGATAAGTTCAGAACGCGGCTCGCGCGCGCAGATTATAGAATAATTCAACGGACCTGCGATATTACCTCACGTCATGACATTAACCCGGGAATAGTCGGCTTATTTTCGATTATCCTTACG